AAGGAAGGAAGGAAGGAAGGAAGGAAGGAAGGAAGGAAGGAAGGAAGAAGGGAAGGAAGGAAGGAAGGGAGAAAGAAAGAGAGAAAGAAAGAAGAAAAGACCAACCCATTGGAATGCTAAGTCAGATGAATTATCTGAGCCCAGGAGATTGAGACCAGAAACATGATAAAACTTCATATCTACAAACTTTTTTTTTTTTAATTAGCTGAGCAGGGTGGAATGCATTTGCAGTTCCAGCTGCCCAGGAGGGTGAGGCAGGAGAATTGCTTGAGCCCAGAAATCACTGAGCCTAGGTTGCAGTGAGACATGTTTGTGCCACCGCACTCCAGCCTGGGCAACAGAGCAAGGCTATTTCTCAAATAAGAAAATAAATGAATAAATAAAACTACAGGCCAATATCCCTGATGAACATTTAAGCAAAAATCCTCAGCAAAATACTGCCAAACTAAATTCAACAACACATTAAAAGATCATGACAAGTGAGAAACATCCCAATGTCCCAGCAATACAAACATATATAATGAATAAAAAATAAAAATAGAAAATGGACAAAAGATATGAATAAACATTGCTCATAAAAAATACACAAATGACAATGGTTACATAAAAGATGCTCAGCATAATTGATCATCAGAGAAATGTAAATTAAAACTCCAATGAGATATCATCTCACACCAGTTAAAATGGCTGTTATCTGAAGGGCAACAAATTCATAGAATGTGGAGAAAAAGAAACCTTATTGGCAGGAATGTAAATGAGTAAAATCATGATGGGGAAGAGTATGGAGATTCCTCAAAAACCATATGATCCAGCAATCCCACTTCTGGGAATATGCCCAAAAGAAAGTAAATCAGTATATAAAAGAGATATCTCAACTCCTATGTTTGTTGCAGCACTGTACAATAACTATGAAGCAACTTAAATGTCCATTAACAGATTAATGGATAAGGAAAATGTGGTGCATATATATATAAACACATACATATATATGAACTATTCAGCCACAAAAAAGAACCAGATCCAGTCATTTGCAACAAGATGGATCAAACTGGAAAATATTATATTTATTAAAGTAAATCAGGAAGAGAGACAAATTTTCCATTTTCCCTCATTTGTGGGAGCTAAAATTTAAAACTCTTAAACATATAGAGATAGAGAATTGAATTATGGTTACTAGAGACTGGCGAGGGTAGAGGTGCTGTAGGGGAGTGGGAATGGCTAATGGCTACAAAATATAGTTTAATAAAATGAATAAGATCTAGTATTTGATACTACAATGGGACAATTGCAGTCAATAATTCATTGTACATTTTTAAACAACTAAAAATGTGTTAGTGGAATGTCTGTAACAGAAAGAAATAATAAATGTTTGAGGTGATGGATTGTTGATTTATCCTGATGTGATTATTACACACTGAATGCCTGCATCAAAATATCTCATGTATGTCCTTGCACATGAGACCAACATCAACTTGATACCAAAACCTGGAAGAGACTCAACAAAAAAAGAAAACTTCAGACCAATATCCATAATAAACATAGATGCAAACATCTTCAATAAAATACTGGTATATCGATTGCAACAGCATATCAAAAAGCTTATCCATCTTGATCAAGTAGGCTTCATCCTGGGGATGCAAGGCTGGTTCATCGTACACAAGTCTATAAATGTAACCCATCACATAAACAGAACCAAAGACAAAAACCACATAATTATCTCAGTAGATGCAGAGAAGGCGTTCCACAAAATTCAACAGCCCTTTATGCTTAAAACTCTCGATAAACTAGGTATCAATGAAATAGTAAAAGCTCTTTACCACAAACCTACAGCCAATATCATACTGAATGGGAAAAAAACTGGAAGCATTCCCTTTGAAATCTGGCACTAGACAAGGATGCCCTCTCTCACCACTCCTATTCAACATAGTATTGGATGATCTAGCCAGAACAATCAAGCAAGAAAAATAAATAAAGGGTATTCAATTAGGAAAGGAGGAAGTAAAATTGTCTCTATTTGTAGATGGCATGATTGTATATTTAGAAGACCTCATAGTCTAAGCCCAAAAATTCCTTAAATTGATAAGTAATTTCAGCAAAGTCTCAGGATACAAAATCAATGTGCAAAAATCACAAGCATTCCTATACACCAATAACAGACTAACACAGAGCCAAATCAAGAGCGAACTGTGATTCACAATTGCAACAAAGAGAATAAAATACCTAGGAATACAACTAACAAAAGATGTGAAGGACCTCTTCAAGGAGAACTACAAACCACTGCTCAAGAAAATAAGAGAGGACACCAACAGATGGAAAAACATTCCATGCTCATGGTTAGGAAGAATCAATAGTGTGAAAATGGCCATACTGCCCAAAGTAATTTACAGAATCAGCACTATCCCCATCAAGCTACCAATGACCCTGTACACAGAACTGTATAAAACCCTCAAACTTCATATGGAACAAAAAGAGAGCCTGCATAGCCAAGGCAATCCTAAGAAAAAAAAAAAAAAAAAAAAAAAAGCTGGAGGTATCACACTACCTGACTTCAAACTATATTACAAGGCTACAGTAATCAAAACAGCATGGTAGGGGTACCAAATCAGATATATAGACTAATGGAACGGAACAGAACAGAGGCCTCAAAAGTAATGCCACATGACTACAACCATCTGATCTTTGATAAACCTGACAAAAATAAGCAATGGGGAAAGGATTCCCTAGTTGATAATTGGTGTTGGGAAAACTGGCTAGCCATGTGCAGAAAGCTTAAACTGGACCCTTTCCTGACACCTTAAATTAAAATTAACTCCAGATGGATTAAATACTTAAACATAAGAGCTAACACCATAAAACCCATAGAAGAAAACATAGGCAATGCCATTCAGGACATAGGCATAACCAAGGACTTTATGACTAAAACACCAAAAGCAATGGCAACAAAAACCAAAATAGACAAACGAGATCTAATTAAATTCCAGAGCTTCTGCACAGCAAAAGAAACAATCATTAGAGTGAAACAGCAACCAACAGAATGGGAAAATTTTTTGCAATCTACCCATCTGACAAAGGGCTAATATCCAGAATCTACAAAGAATGAAAACAGATTTACAACAAAAAAACAAACAAACCCATTCAAAAGTGGGCAAAGGATATGAACAGACACTTTTCAAAGGAAGACATATGTAGGCCAACAAACATAGGAAAAAATGTTCATTATCACTGGTCATTAGAGAAATGCAAATCAAAACCACATTGAGATACCATCTCATGCCAGTTAGAATGGCAGTCATTAAAAAATTCAGACAACAGATGCTGGAGAGGATGTGGAGAAATAGGAACAGTTATACACTGTTGGTGTGAGTGTAAATTAGTCCAACCATTGTGGTAGCCACTGTGGTGATTACTCAAGGACCTAGAAATAGAAATTCCATTTGATCCAGCAATCCAATTACTGAGTATATACCTAAAGGATTATAAATCATTCTATTATGAAGACACATGCACACGTATGTTCATTACAGCACTGTTTACAACAGCAAAGACATGGAACCAACCCAAATGCCCATCGATGGTAGACTGGACAAGGAAAATGTGTCACATATACACTATGGAATACTCTGCAGCCATAAAAAAGATGAGTTCCTGTCCTTTGTAGGGGCATGGATATATCTGGGAACTATCATTCTCAGCAAACTAACACAAGAACAGAAAATCAAAGGCCACAGGTTCTCACTAATAGGTAGGTGTTGAACAAGGAGAACACACGGACACATGGAGGGGAGGCTTACACACCGGAGTCTGTTTGTGGGGGCTAGGGGAGGGACAGCTGTGAGTGGCAAGGTTGGGGAGGGATAACATGGGGAGAAATGCCAGATATATGCTACAGGGTAATGGAGGCAGCAAACCACATTGCCATGTATGTACCTATGCAACAATCCTGCATGATCTGAAAATGTACCCCAGAACCTGAAGTACAATTAAAATATATATATACATATAGTTTAAAAAAATCTCATGTGCCCTATAAATATATATGCCTACTACATACCAATAAAATTTAAAACCCTGTGGGATTAAGTTTTATGGACAAAGAATAAATAAAGAATTTATCTGTTTGGGACATGACTTCAACTTGTCTTTATAAAAAGACTGAAACCAGCTAGAGGTATTAAATTTATTTATTTTTTCTTTTGAACAGAGATTTCAGACTCTAGATACAACTAGACTTTAGCAATGATAGTGTCTCACTCAGGGATAATTGGATAATATATCCAGAATTCTGTTGTATTTTATTCTTGCATAATTCCCTTACTATACTCCTACAATAAAGTGTAATTATACCTTGTATAGCAAGCAATACCTGTGTGGATGCATATGAGTTTACATATTCTTAGGTCAAGTAAGTTATCTCTTTAATCCAAAGTAGATTTGACTTATTGACAAAAGAAAACTTTTAATGTAAGCATTGCTTATTTGTATTGTTAGATAAAGGGTTGCCCTAAGTTTCCCAAGCCGGACTTAAACTCCTGGGCTCAAGAGATCCTCCTGCTTCACTTTCCAGAGTACTTGGAACTATAGGTGCTTACCATCACACCTGTCAACAAAGAAAAACTTTTTAATGTGGACACAGTTTTCTTTTACTTTCTTTCTTAATACTGCCCATCAAATATAATTCTTACAGGTAATGTTAATTTCTGAAGGATTATTTATTGGTGCTGAGCTATTCTCTGCCTTATGCA